CGGAACCTACCTGTCATATTGTAAGTCTACAGAGATGAATAAAGGCAGTTGCTCATGGACATGCGACTAGATAGTATCATGAGTTTCATTCAAAATATAACAGATATCTCGTTCCATCTTCTGGAGTCGTGGAGCACGATTGGTGGTGGGGTTGTTTCGGTCGCTTTTTCAGAAGTTGGCAGCACTTATTTATTTGTTGGCCATTCTTTTTCGGTTGACACAACTGCTGGCACATCATTGATTGGTGCTTTGGCTTTTTTTTGGTACCTTGGGAGCTGTCTGACTTGTCCATTCAGTCCAAGTCTCCAGAAAACACTGCAGCCGCATGGGCTTATTGCGTTCATTTTCCCATCTTCTCATGGCACCCATTCCATCAGTCTCGTTCCCTGTACTAGTTTGTACAGGTTTCGTGTTGGATGTTCGTCATATTCTTCTGGACGTAATTTCGTGCGTCCATATATTGCCTGCCTCCTGTGATTCAGTGCCTCACATTCGCATAAGATATATAGAGCTGTTTCTATCCCTTCGTTGCATAATCTGCAGCTGAGGTCTCCGATGTACAGCTCCATTTTATTCAGGTGTCCTCTAAGCGGACAATGACTGGTTAGTAGCCCTGTAATTATTTTGAGCCGATTCCTACTATAGTGAAGTAATTCTTCGGTTCTTTTCTCGGACGGTTCCCTAATGAAGGTTCTACTGTGTTTGTTGCCAGGTACTTTTGTCCAGTACTCTGTGTTCTTCTTATTGGTCCATGTCCTAATCTGGTTTTTTACCAATGATGTTGGTACCCCCAGAGCTGGTTCAGGACCTATATATGAAGTTGATGATCCGCGTCTAGCGCATTCATCAGCGTCATCATTACCTGTGATTCCTGAAAGCCCTGGCACCCAGTACAAAGTTAATTTGTTCCTGTTTGCAAGTTCATTCAGTTTTTCATGGCATTCCCAGACCAATTTTGATATCACCTTGCACACTACAAGATATCATACACTTCCGCCTGACAGCGGATAGCTGTAGTTTGAATTTATATCCGCTTGGTATATTCCAGCTTCCGTTCCATGTTTGGTCTTCGATCCATCTGTATACCAGGTGTTTTTTCCAAACATGTTTTCGGGATGACTATTGGTCTTCCACTCTTCACGGCTCATGATTTTGGCCTTGAAGTTTGTGTTAAAGGTGTACTTCGGTGTCATGTGGTCCGTGCACATATTCAATATGTGCCACTTGTTCCGAAATTTCTGTTCGATCCGATTTTGTACAGTTCGGTGAGTTTTCCAGTGTAAATTGGTCCATCCTGGCTTCCCTCATTATCACAAGATGTGAAAGAGGTAGATTCAGGAGTGTCTCCAATGCAGCTGTTGGGGTATTTCTCATTGTTCCCGTCATTCCCAAACATGCAAGTCCTTGCACCTTGCCCAGTTTGTTGATAGCGGTCGCCTGCTTCATCTTCGGCTACCAGACCAGAGATGCGTATGTTATCATGGGTTCAACCACCATCGTGTATAGCCAATATACTATGTCTGGTTTTAGCCCCTATGTTTTTCCATAGGTGCGTCTGGCGAGCATCAGTGCTACCTCCGCTTTCCTCTCTATCCTGTCCAAGTGTTGGTTCCAGGTTAGGTTTATCAAATGCGCCGTCAATGTCCAAGAAAGCAGCTGAAAGTACTTCCTTGTTTTTGTAAGTATATTCTACTTTTTCTGTTACCCAACATAGAACCGTTTCTGTTGACATACCTGACCTGTATGCATATTGGTCTCGATGTAATGGTCTGATAGCCAGTGATACGTCCCTGATATGCATGTCAAGTAGTTTTTCTAGCGTTTTCACCGCAAATGACATGAGACTAATTGGTCTCAAGGCCTTCGCCGAGTCCTGTCCAATTTTCCCAGGTATCGGAATGAAGGTGGCCCTGATCAGTCTTCAAATTTTTGGTGCTAATCTTGCCCTGAGAATTATACACAATTGTTTGAAAAGTATTTCCGGTCCCTTTTGAAGCATTACTGGGTATATGTTATCAGGTCTCGGCGACTTTAGGGTTGAAATGAGTTTACAGCCCATTTAATTCTCTCCAGATCTATCACCTTCTTTGTCATTTGCCAGTCCTCTCTGGATGCCATTTTCAGGGTCTCTAGTCCTAAATTCACCCACATCCAGGACGGAATAGATTTGTAATGACTGACACGGGAAAGTGTACCCGGAAAAGAACTCTAATAGTCTCTTCTCCGGTTTTTGTATACTCCCCCGTATTCGTTTTCAGATTATTTATTGAGACCTGAGGTTCCTTCGAGAGTATTTTGTAGAGCCTGGCATATGCTTTGGTCTGTTCGACCTCCTCACATTGCCTTCTCCACGTATCTCTCTTGGATTTTCTCAGGACTTTGTTATACTCAGTTAGGGACCTTCTGTATTGGTCCCATGAACCTGATCTCCTTGCACATTTGAAGTATTTTCTAGTTTTTTGTCTCATCCTCGCCAGATCTTCATTCCACCAGGGCACATTCCTGTTTGATCTCTGGTTTACTATGGGACAATGTTCGTTGTACGTAGAGATGATAGCTCCCTGTAATCGATCTGCTGCCAACTCTAGGTCTATGGAATCTCTGATGTCAAAATCCATGCGGTCTAAACAGGTTTCCAGGTCCACCGTATAGGCTCCCCAGTTTGTTTTCCTAGGATTTTGATAAGTTATGATCGAGGTCTGAATCCCTCCGATTTCAATGTTTATGTGTCGATGGTCTGAACAACTTTCCTCATCGGACACATTCCATTTCTGAACGTAGTTACTTACAAATGTAGTTCCTATCGTTATGTCTATCACTTCACTACTTTTCGTATTTACGAAAGTAGGTTTGTTGCCTATGTTTGAAATGTCGAAGTTATTTGGCATGATAAACTGTACAGTAAGTGCTCACCTCTTTCGTTGGTGTTGGTGCTTCCCCAGGTTAGGTGGTGTGCATTGGCATCATAGCCAATTATAAGTTGTAGTCCCTCTGCTTGGCAGGTACTAACCAACTCTTCCACTTCCCTGGTTGGTGGTGGATCCGGACTGTCGTAAGGGAGGTATGCTGATCTAATGATGATTTCCTCAGGTCCGCCCCCGCCAGCCGTCTTTATTTTGACTGCCGTCAAGTCTCTGGAACACAAATTACTCAACAGCAGTATATTTATTCCTTTACGGATAATTATGCATGTTTTTGGGGTCTCTGGGGTTCTGTTATAAATTAACTCCCCACTGATGCCCCCCTATCCCATTATTTTTCCCCTTGTATAAAAGCAATATCAAACCCCCCCATCACTTTGGTAAGGACAGCCGAGGCCCCCTTACTGTGTTGCAGATTTGTTTGTATTACTCTCAACATTGCTGTTAAGACCCTTCAGGACCTTGAAGGTGACCATGCCCAGCTTATAGTAGGCTTTGAACATATTTCCCTCCAAGGCCCTGAAGGAACTTTCATTCGTGGAGAAGGCGAAGATGTATCTTTCCTCTTCCACTTTTCTGCTAAGGAGGATCCAGTTTTCCACCCCCACTGAGGCGTATCCTAACTGTAGCCTTCTCGTTTTTTTTGGCCCGGAATGAAGACTAGGTCCCTCGGTCTCTTCGTGGAGTTCGTTGGCCTCGACCACGGTCAAGTCCGCCCCCTCTCAAAGATTGCACAAGTTTCCAATGCTTCCTCTGAGCCATTCTCATGTCCCTTCATTCGCACAGGTTATCCATAAGATCCCTGCGCCGAATGAAGTCTTTTTAAATTGAAGGTTTTCCAGGCTACCAGAGAAAGTATTGTCCAATTCGCGGACAAGTCCCTTCTGGACCAGGTCTGCTTGACCCTGACTCAGGGTGACCTCAGGGTGTCGCATATCAGTGACCGCCACCCTCAGGCCTCTCTCTAGTAGTCTCACTATAAGTCCTACTTTCTTTGGAAGCCCTGGGGTTTTTCAGTACCTTTTTTGGGGGAGTTTTTACATCCTCTCTAGGTCTCTTTTTGGCCCTTTCCACAGAAATTGCTTTGGTTTTTTCTGTTTCTGCGATCTTTTGTATTACATGGACTTTCAATTCATGTTCCCGCAGCTATTTTCTTTGCTTTCAACAGCTTGCGCTTTTGCGCCCCTGACAGCCTATTCTTCTGCAGTTCGACTTTCGTCAATCTTGCAGTTATGCTTTCGGCGGGGCTGGTGTTTCCCGGCGTTTGACTATGACTTTCCTGGTCAGTTTGCACCCCAAGAATAGTCTGATTTTGCGAGAAGTCGCTCTAAGAGTCCTCCTCTGATATTCTGGTAGTTCTTGTTGTTGTATCCATCCAAGTCCCACGAGTATGGGGGAAAGGGTTGTCCACATCCATGGTGCCCCCTGTATAGATGTAAGGCTGGATACTTTGGGAGGCCGCCTGGTATCTCATAGGCTTCGTTAGTGGTACCTGATGAGGCTCAGGTACCATTCATCCTTTGGCATGGGTCGCATAACACCTTGGATTAGGCCTGGTTCCTTCTTAGCCCGTAACTTCATCACAGTGCGCAAGCCCTCCTACCACGACAATGTGAAGACTCCTCGAGAGGAGGCTTTTTTGTTTACAGTGGTTGGTACCATTTCTTAAATGGCTGCCGTTCCCTCTGTTAATGTGTCCATGTCGTCGGTTTGTATTAGGCGCCGTCTCGTTTTGAGGTTAGGTCGTGCCCTTTCTTTCCACTAGCTCAACTCCGTCTTCCTCTGAGTCCGTATTTGAGGTGTCTTCCGGATCACGTGGCCACTTGGCAGTTGGTGGGTCCACTTTGTTTTTCACTACTCCAGGGAATTTTTTGTCGCTTCTATTCTTTGCTTCAGCTTTTGCAGCCGGGGTGTTTTTCTCTGTCTTCCTTCCCTTTTTCCAATTCCAGTACCCTTGCTTCCATAAGCTTCAATTCTCCCATTAGTTTTTGATATCATTCTCATATTCTCTGTTCACTTCCCAGAGTTGACGGTTCTCGTCGGCAAGTTCCTCCTTTGTTTGATCCACTTTTCAATGGCACAAGTTTGGGAAGTGTTCCTAAAAGAAATTCTCATCTGAAAAATAAATATTAAATTGTGTGCTTTGCACACGAGTATTCCTGATGGGAACTAGTATCTGCTATTTCACAATTTTCACTGGTTTTAAGTTATCTCTTCGAATAACGTAAGCTTTCGTTTACTAAACTCTTCAGTGTCTTGATACGAATTTGTATGGAATTCCCCGCTCCCCTCTCACTTAGAAGGGTCATAGGAAAACCAGTGTTGTCACATCATTTTATGTATAATAGTAACATTGGTAAATGGAGGGAGAATGTTTTGATCAGTTATATATTATTATTAATAGTAAAGGATTTAATGTATTACGAAATTCAAATACTGACGGGATCTTCTGATTTTTTAATTAATTTGGAGTTGATGAATTCTTAACAATTCGGATTAATTTTACTTCCACTTTCACCATTTGATTTCGAATTGTGACTTTTTACTAAACCTAAATATTTTTCCTGATAATATTTTTAAAACCTATAATTGTAATGAATATTACTGGAGTTTCTTCCCAACACCAAATCGTTATTTTTAACACCTCGACACGTGTTTCGATCACCAATTGATCATTTTCAAGAGGAAGATTAATCTTCCTGACTATTATGGGACTATTTATGGGTCGTTCGAGTACTTTCACTTATCCCCGCTTTCCATTTTTTTCCGGTTCAGTGGGAGATGACCGTTTGGCGGGAGTTGGCCATTTTTCGCTTGATGATGGGTTTTCATAAGTTGCGTATTTCTGCGCTGGCTTGGCTGAATACGTTGTTGGACAACGTGTATGCTTCATGCTTCCATGAATTTTCTCCTAAACCAATGTTCCTCTCTGTGTAAGATCTCAGCTCGATGTTGTGTTGAAGGGTCTAAACATGTTATGCTATTCCTGATTTGCTGGTTTTCCCTCGTTGTGTGTGTTTCTCGTGCTCGGCAATGCGAACATTCAAAGGCCTCTTGGTTTCACCAATATAGGATTTTCCGCACTCACAGGGTATCCGGTAAATGCAATTCTTGGATTCGTAGTCCGCGTTTGGTGGTCTTGTTTTCGTGAGACTGCTACGGATAGTGTAACCGGATCTGAAGCAGGTTCTGATGTTGTACTTGGAACCAATTCTTTTTATCCTCTCCGATAATCCTCTGATGTAGGGAAATGCAAGCACTGGTTGTGACGGCTTCTCTTCCTTGCTAGGCTCCTGTCTCATCTCCCACTGAACCAGTGAAGCGGGGATAAGTGAAAGTACTCGAACGACTCATAAATAGTCATCTCTCGGAGGAATCAGTCCAGTCATCACCCGAAGACGATTGTGGATACTAACAATCGAAACGTCGTGAACTAACGTGACTTGGAA